GAGAGAGAGAGAGAGAGAGAGACCTTATTATTTTTTTTTATATCGCCCTTGACTCTTCATATTGTTTATTTTTATATAACGAGTCCTTATTTCTTTTTCTATTAATTTCTTATTATTTTTCATATTCGGAATTATTTAATAACCATCTTATTATTGTATATTTTGAGGTTTAGCAGCGCCAAGTTTTTTGTACTTTTACTTTTTGAAATAAAGTATGTTATATATGTGTCAAGAAAATATATTCCTTTCATAATTGGCGCAATTTAAAAAGATTTCATTTTATTTTGTGAGGCTAACACACTTGGCGCCATTTTTCCTTTTTTTTTAAAAAGGTAATTTTGTTGAGATTAGTGTTTTGGACGATACCGAGACTAGTCTCGAGTATCGTGCCGAGACCGAGACGAGACCGAGACGAGACTTAAAGTCCGAATTTGAGACCGATACGAAACTTTTTATACCGAGAGTCTCGATGATACCGAGAATCTCGTCGAGACTCTCGAATTTTGTAATATGTCAGATACAATTTCTAACGCATAAGATATGTCAGGTCCTTTTTCAATATCTGATTAACTTGTGCTTAATCTGATGTTTCATCACAGATAAAGCCCATTGGATAAAACATCAAGTTACGCCTAATCACAAGTTAACCAGGTGATAAAATACCGGGCCTTAAACTATACGAGGATCGATTGGACACTATATTCGCATGTAGTAACGAAAAAGGAAAGAAGTTAGAAGTATGATAATACTTCCATATTGTTATCGGAATATTGTATGATGTAATATTGTATGAATTAAAAAAAATTTTTTAAAAATTCTTTAAAATTAGATTTAATAAAAAAAGAAATTACTTCTTAGAAACAATAATAACTCGTAATTGTTTTATTTGCATTTAATTTAAAAAAATTTCATTGAACTTTATGGTGCATCTTGGTATTTAAAAACTACGAGTAAACGCCAAGTTTTTTGTACTTTTACTTTTTTGAAATAAAGTATATGATATATATATGGCAAAAAAAAAGAAAATATATTTCTTTCACAATATTGGCGCAATCTACAAAGATTTCATTTCATTTTTTGTATACTGTAATAATATGTAACGGCTTTTTGTGAGGCCAACACGCACACTTGGCGCCTTTTTTCCTTTTTTTAAAAAGGTAATTTTGTTGAGTAAATAATATACATCGTTATTATTGACAGAAATTTGGTATAAAGTATTAGCAAATTGAAAAAATATTGCGTGTATACAATTACTAAATCTATTAAGAATCTATTTCAAATCTATTAAGAAATTTAATTATTATTTAGCCTCCTTCGAAGAGAGGTTGTTACAGCTGGAAATTTTTGATATTAACAGGCAAATTCAAAATTTAGATTTAAGATTGTATTATTTAGAAAATTTTTTGAATAATAATGTACCTATTAATATTTGGAATGAGATTTCAGAACATCATAGAATATCCTTTTATAATTTCAAATATAAATATGAAGGAATATATTCAGGGAAATTCAATTGGCTCATTCAAAAAACAAAAAAAGCACAGATTAAAAAAATAAAACCGATTAATTATCAATTTCAAAATGATACAAATGTTATTTCATATCAAATTAAACCTGAGAAATTTGTTCAGTTAACTGATAATAATTTACATAAGACTAATGAAAAATGGTTTATTAATTTTTCCAGCTGTGACATCCCTCCTTCTGTATCTAATTTAATTCAATTGGGAGAGAAATTCTCCCTTCCGTCACATATTAATAAAAAAAGGTCAACCAGAGAATTTATCAAAGACTTTGAAAATTATAATAAATGTCTCAACGATAATTGTCAATCTAAACTAAGAACAGATATTATTCCAAAATTAAATGAATTTACACATAATAACAATAAAAATGTTAATAGTATTGATAAGGAGTTGTGTCACATGTATAAAGAAACTATTGAATTTTGCAAAGATAATCCCAATATTATATATACTAGAGCGGATAAAGGAAATGTTACCGTAGCTTTAGACAGAAATGAATACATCCATAAAATAGAAAATACATTAGAAGATACTAGTACCTATAAAATTATACAAAAAAATCCGATACATATAATTGAAAAGAAACTTAATAACTTAATTAAAGATTGGTTAGATAAAAAATACATTTCAAAACAAGCTTCATACAATTTAAAATTTAGTGATTCATCTCTGCCTAAAGTATATGGACTACCAAAAATCCACAAAATTAATGTGCCTTTTCGCTTAATAGTTTCTTCAATCAATACTGCATTATATGCTTTATCAACCTTTTTACATAATATTATTTCAAAAAGTTTAATTGATGACAATAAATATGTTAAAAATAGCTTTGAACTATTTAAAAACTTAGATGGTAGACAAATAGATAATTCGGAGATCTTAATTTCGTTAGATGTTGTATCTATGTTCACTAACATACCTTTGGATCTTGTCAATGATAGTATTAACAAAAGATGGCAATTAATAAATAAGAATACAACAATTCCCTTTGATGAATTTATCAAAGCAATTAATTTTATTTTTGACTCTACATATTTTACTTTCAATAACAAAATTTACAAACAAACTTATGGAACACCTATGGGGTCTCCATTGTCTCCGATATTAGCACATATGGTGATGCAAG